ATCAAATGAAGTCATCTCCATCTGCACGTTTCATCGCCAATTACAACGAAATCTTATCGAAATTTGAAGTTTCAAATATAAACTTCTTTAATAACAAGCTTTAAACATACTGATATTGTTTATAGTCTTTTTGGTAACTACTGGTAGCTGCATTCATATCTTCCCATTCAAACAAAAAATCGGTAATTTAAAAGATTATAATAGGGGAGGAGAAGAGGATTTATCACATAATTTCTTTTACAACAATCTATTTTATCTCTCGCGTGAACTCCAGATCTCTAGATTTTAAAAGTTATGAAATATTTTAAAATGCAGTGCTTTAAGGAAAGACCAGTCTTTACATAGGACAACAGAATCAAATACGTACAATTAAAAAAATAATACGAAACTGAATGTTTATGATTATAGTCCTATAAACTGTGTAAAAACTAAACTGTGTATAAACTGTGTGTAAAAAAATAGCTATTATAAATTCGCTTCTTATAATTTGATATATTACCAGTTTTTAAATATTAAGAGATGGTATTAAGATAACGATTCGAAGTTAATTTAATTCGAAAATATTTTATTCAAATTTAATATAATTGTCATAGGTTTTATTTATTGGACACTTTTCTTATTCACTTTAATTTGATATTAAAGTTTAGCGCTAAGCCTAGAATAATCGATTCTATTATAATTTTGATAGATTTTGCGCCAGAAATTCATACGATTTTCTTCAGGATTTTTTTTCATTTCAAATTGTTTATCAATAGACAAGTAATCTAATTCGAATTCACTATCTTCGGTTTTCGGACATGTCACTGGTTTCCAGTTGATTGCGTCATCAATAGTTGGTTTTCCATATTTTGCAAAATTTGTCCAAAGCTGACACAATTTATTGGCAAATATTTCATCACCCGGTGTTAAAGTTGTTTTATCACCAGCTGTTTGAAAAATATAACATAATTCATCACCATGACATGCTCCATTAAGTGCCTCGAATTGGAATATTCGCTTGTACATATTGTGGTCACCAACATAATTAAAACGATAAAAGAATAATGGTGCATTCGATTGATAACGAGCTTGATACTCTGCGGCATGCTGCATGTCAACAACAAAGTGATAATCACTCAATACATTCGCGAGTTCATTTAAGGATTTTTCATTTATAATTCCACCATTAAAATAAAAATTTCGCATTTCTTTAGCAATGGCTTTAATACCAGGACTATATACTTGCAATGGTATATCACGTGGTACAAACCGTTCTAAGTCATTATCTATAGCATTTAATTTCCGTAATGCATTTGATAACAAAGCTAAGCCATCGGTAGAATTATAGCCCATTATAGTTTGAACTTTTACGACATTAATTGTTTGTAAGCTTTCTAATATAGGTTTTTTGATAAATATGTCAGGACTATTTTTATCTTCAACTACTGGCTTGAAGGGTACTGGAAGACCACGCCGCCGTTCATCTTCTGTTAGTACACAAGGACTGGAAAGTAGTATTCTATCAGCGGTTACAGCATCTGATTGCAAAAACGTTAGTATATCACTTGTTTTATTCGACTCACAACCTAATAACTTAGCTAATTTTCGGGTTTTATATCCTGGATTAGATTGGAATGACCATTCCATATTAGCAGTACCACTTTGCATTATAACTTTGTGAAAGTATTTGTTTGCATGATCGGCATAAGAATGCATATGAACAGAAGCTGCTCCTGCACTTTGACCAAATATTGTTACATTATTTGGATCACCATTGAATTTTGCAATATTCTCCTGTACCCATTGCAAAGCAAGACGCTGTATTAGTAGAACAAAGACATTACAAATCAGTTTTTAATGAATGACAATTTATTATTTACTTGATCTTTTAATCCAGCATTACCATAGATGCCTTCCTCGGGTAAACTTAAGAATCCCAATGCTCCTAAACGGTAATTAATTGTGACAACAACAACATCATGTTCCATTAATTTAAGTGGATAGAAACTATAATTAAAACCAGATAAATTATTGGATTTAATTATTTTAAGTAAAAACTCACAAATCACTGTTTCCACTACCAAACCAGAAGGCACCACCATGTATCCAAACCATAACTGGCAATTGTTTTTCATTAGCTGATTGAGGCGCATAGACGTTTAAATGAAGACAGTTTTCTGAACCAACAATTTTTTGCAGAAAAGGATCACGATGATGTGATATATCGCGTTCTTTAGAACAATCCAATTCTTGTACTTCAAATTGTTTAAGCGCCACTGGTGACTATCCAAGTCGAGAACATAATTAAAATATAAATTACAAATTAAAAATTACCTTAAATCGAAGCATTCCAACTGGTGGCTTTGCATATGGTATTCCTTGAAAACTATTAAATGGTTTTCCATTGGACAATAACTTCTGAACGCCAATAAGCGTTCCTTGTTTTATTTGAATTTTGATCATCTCTCTGTACTGTAGAATTTTTTTTTTATTTTAAAAAATTCTTTTGTTATTTTTAATTTAAAAGTTTTCAGCTATTACTTGGATAAATACCTGAAGTTAACTGTAAGACAGACCTGGTGAACACTAAATAAACATTTTCTCGTATTTGCATCAGTATTTATAATTAACTTGGATTATGATTTGATTACTATGTAATAGAAAACTGCCAATAAAATTAATAGCTTCTTCCTCTCCTTATATCGCATTTTCCTCATTTAATCATAATAACTTGATTAAAAAAATCTGTTTTATACTTGGAAGACAGCATTTTGCAGAATTGTTTCAAAATATATTATTTTAAAATACTTTATAAACTGTATTGCATTAATTATTCTAGATTATAATTTATAACATTATGTTTAATATTATGTTTTCTTTTGCCTTTGTTTTTTAAATGTAATAGAAGGAAATGTAGACGGAAATGTTAATAATAAAAAGATCTCACATTAAATACCTTTGGAGAAAAGATATTTAGCAATTTGCTTATGGCTTTATTATAAACAAATTTAAATACAGTCAAAATTCCATAAATCGAAGTCCAGTTATGCAAAGAAAAGGTTCGACTTATGGAGACTCGAATTAGAGAATTTTTTTTTTTTATTTTTGAAAAAAACTAGAATTATATTTTAAGATATTTATTTATTTATTTGAAATCAAATACAGCACAAAAGTTATAGTGAAGTGAAATAATTAGAAATAAGTGTTTGGGATTTTAATTTTTCTTTTTGTTATTTTCAGTAAGAAGACATTCCACTTTATTTAAAACCTTATAGTGATCAGTTGTTATATCATTCTTTTGCAAATATAAATTCAGAATTTTGAATGAGTCTCCTACTTCATGCTTGGAAGGCCGATGAGCAATTATATCCACCGAGTCCTCATCATCACTTTCCGTTGCGCTTAGAATTGGATACAATAATTTACAGCTATAGTGCTCAATAATATCGTCATCTGTAGGAAAGTTTGATGTACAAATTTCATTGTCAAGCAAAATATAATGTAATGGTTAAGAGTATCTTTGGAAGTTATTTTATTAACTTTAAACCACGTTGCCAACGACTGGTTTTTGTACAAAGCAACATAAGAAAAAAATTAAACCTTTGGTTTGGAAAAAGGGACTTCCCCTAACAGCTAAATGCATTTATACTTAAAACAAAAATTCGACTTATTCAAATTCGAATGCACTTTCCCATATTCCTGTCGGCACGGAACAAAATTTTTGTTCGAGTTATAGAGAAATTCGAGTTATAGAAGTTCCAGTTATGGAAGCAGAATTGTATGTAATTTGCTCTCTAAAACCTTGGTGCACTGTTTTTGTTTCGAGTTTTAGAAAATTCGAGTTATAAAAGTTCGAGTTATGGAAGTTTGACTGTAGTTATAAAAACATGAATTAAAACATTTTATCTTTGAGTAGTTTTTTTCAGAACTTTCGTTTTTATTACGTCAGGTATAAAAATCGTGAATAATCATAGGTACAAATAATAAACTAAAATTAATTAAAAGTTAATTAGAAAAGCAAAAAACTAGTGTAGCATATTAAGTAATCGAGTGTCCGATAAGGGACAATGTACGACATGTTTAATATATTGTTTATATATTATCTGGAATAGTTTTTTATATAGTTAATCATATATTCAAATAATAAGCATTAAAGAAATATAAGAAAAGATTTGTTTGCAACTTATGATATATGTTTAAGCTGAAACATTTATTGTTTTGTGTTACATTTCTTTTTAGTAATTGATTATGGACTAATTATTTTGGATTAATAAATTGAATTGAATCTATACTGGACTGTTAAAAGCTGCTTATAGTGCGATATATAATTCTGATGTGAAATATCTTGTGATTGAGATATTATTAAACATTTGATTCAGTTAAATGTAAAGTGTTTATTATATATACATTCTACATATAGTCTTTCTAAAGCGGGGGTGTCTTAGTTTGTATAATACATATTATTATGTTAGAGAATTGGGCACACTATTCCGACTATTCGATTTGACTGTGAATTCCACTACCTTACCACAAAATAAATATGTATATAGTCTACTGTAGATGGAGTAGGAGGGTAAAATCACTATAACTAATTATGGTTTCGATAATCTCAACTTTACTCTACTGCATATTTAAGGTAAGTTTTGGTGGATTAGACTACTAGGATACTTATTAAAAAAGTATCTTTAAAAATAATAAGTAAAATAAAAGTAAAAGAAGAAGTAAAATATTTTTAATAAAAGTTTTATCTTCAATCATTTATTTTCAATTTAAAATATTAATTTTAATCATAAACTTAATATTTTGTTGACATTCTTTAATTATATATTTATATTAAATTTGATTTGATATTTTAAAATTATTTTAGTAAATATTTTAAAAGATTTTATGCACTACATTAGCAAATACATTAACACAAACAGTGGATATTTGTGGTAATTAAAATATATTTTATGCCAATTGCTTACATAAACATATTTAATAAATAATTTGAGATTTTTTAAAAATGTATACTAAAAAAAAAGAAAGAAAATTAAAATAATAAATTAAACTTTAATTAAAACTGAGCTTAATACATGTAAAAAAAAATTTATTTTCCCATACGTTGTATGGACCATTCTTGTTGGCAAAGAGGACAACGATTGTTTTGCTTCACCCATAGAGACATGCAACAATGATGAAAGGAGTGATTGCATTCACCCCAAACTACCACGCAATCCTGTTTTCCCAAAACTTCACGTTTATTTTCAGCTTGGCAACGGAGACAGGCATCTAGAAACCAAAAAAAAAAGTATTAATTAATTAATTAGTACAATACACTTTCAACATGGAAAATTATTATATAAATGGTTTCTACTGAAATTTTTTTTAAAGTAATTCTCCATCTATCGTAGCGTTGTTAGATGGTGCTTATCGCCTTTTCTCTGGGTTTTCTATTTTTAGTGCTATTAGCTACCATTTAAGGCTACACCAACTTTTTAGATGTGCTCTTTCTTTTTTTTTGTGCCGTTAACTAGCACTTTATCCGTTTTTTTTCTCGTGAAATTAATTTTCCGGTATTTCACGCTTTTGGTGTTAGTTATACTTTTTTGTTTATTTGATGCTATTATTAAAATAAATAATTATAAACTAAAGTTTAAACTATACTCATGTAGTTTTATTGTAGCTCAATTTATAATTTGTTTTATTTAAACAAAATTTTCAAATTAATCTTTAAAAGAGAGCACAATGTACATATATTTTTATTTTATAAATATAAGTTGATTATTTTGTATCGATCCGATATGGTTGCATAGTTAACCAACATCATTCATTGGGCACCAAGAGACCAAAATGGTGCTAACAGATGCCGCTAATCAGGCTAATAAAAAAAAATCTAATATACAGGCAATATGGCATCCAATATCTTGATCACTACACTATTTGTATTTAGAATATAATAATTATAATTAATTGATTCGTAATGTATGTACATTGTCTTTATTTTAAAACTTTGGAAAAGTCAATAATTAGCATTGCCTTTTACTTATCATTTTTCTTTATTTTCTTTTATTGAATAAAAAAAAATATTGTTATTGTTATAGTTTTACAAGTTATTAATAAGTTTCACAGATTGTTTGAAATGTGACAAGAGTGACATATGTGACATTGAACTTATATTAGTTCCAATTTACATATAACCTATATTTCTGTTGCCTCACTTGTGTCAATTGACGAGAAGTTTTATCCGCCAATGGAATATTACCAATAATAAATGAAGGAGGCAAGGCAAGGCAAGGCAAGTCGCACAAGTAAAAAGTTAATATACTTTGAGGAACTTAAAGGTAACGAGTACACACCCCTACGCTCTGTGTGCTGTTGACGTGACAAGTGGGACGCTCTTTTTGGCATTGAATCTCAATTGAAAATATTATATATAAACAAAAACAAATTCATTCAGCGTAGATCTTTGAACAGTTGCCAATTAAAAGAAAAAATATAAAAATTAAGAGAAATATACCAATGACGAGATATGACGCAAAACAATTTTTTATATAAAAATAAAATTTGACATCTTCACAAATTAGCATCACATGATAAAAATAAAACGGACGAAATTCTGGAGAACTATACGCTACTTCCAGAACATTCAGAATAAAAAGTTATTTTTTTAAAATTGTATTATATCTATTTGAAGCTTTTTAATACTATACTTAAAAGAGTTGGGAATTAGTTGTTTCTATATTTTTTTTTTGAAAATTATTCAGATCATATCATATATCCTACGGATGAATGTGTCATATACGACTACTTTAACAACAGGAAATGTTTATGGATCATATAACCATTGATTCGCATTGTTTACAAGAAGCTCACAACATATGTACATACATAGCTCAATATTCTTTTTTGAGGTCTTTTTTCTACGGTCACTGACATAATTTTATCAAAACTATAGGTGCGAGCATCGTATTTCATGCTGATTTTTATTTGTAAAATTTCGTTTTCCGAGAATTTAACTTTATATTCAGTGAATTATACAAAATAATGATTTAACTACGCATTAAAGCATTATGATTAACCGATATGCAGCCTAAAGCTGAGCTGTCCAACTGGCAGCGGCCTTAAAAATTCTAAGAGAAAGGTAATAATTGAGTCTAAACGAATTAGATATGAAATAGATGACTTCAGTAATTGAATATATATAAGTTATTTTATAAACTTTGTAAAAACTAATGATTTATTCGTTGTAAAATTTAAAATTATTTTATAAAATTAACTTTTTGAGTTTAAAAATTAACTAATGTATATTTTGTAGGTAACCATGCTAAGAGACTAAATCTACCTTTCAACCAAACTTACCGCAAGTATGGAAAGGACAATAAAAGCGCCTCTCATCAACTCTGTTTCTGTCCAGCACATGCGTAGCGCCGTATTATCACTTTAGGGGCTTTCTTTTTTAAGGATCTTGGCGAACTGCAAAACCTTCCTCTGAATAGCACTATAAGCTTTGCCAAATGTTTTGAGTGGTTCTAACCATTGAGTTTTTAGTTATACGGTAACACAATGACCGCATATGTCTAAGTGGATCCCTTGGGATCGGATGTATGAATATAGTAGATGTGATCCAATTACAAAAATACGTCTTATAGATTGTATCGCTAAGGTCACGAAAATTTAAATAAAGAAACGGCGAGAGACAGCCCTAACCAAAAGTAAAGACAAATGTAGTAACATTGTATATGAAACCAGGAATTGATGTCAAACGCCAAATTTGACTAAATTCAAAAGATTTTATATGCAGACATATGAAGTTGTCAACAGTTTCGATGTTTATTTTCGATTGATTTTTAAAACGGGTATTAATTTTGTGACGAATATACGTTTTTAAGTTTTAGGATATTAATTTAAACCAAGCGAAACCAAGACCACCAATATGGATTTCTAATTCTGCCGATATTTAATTCTTTTGTTTGCTTGGTTAAAGTTATATTGCAATCCCAAATGCCTTTAATTAATTTCTCAAATCTACTTTAGAAGTATTTTAAACTGAAGAATAATTAATCAATTCAATTCAAATAAACAGATCTATAAGATATAATTAGAATGAAGGATTAGTAATCGCACACTATATGTTTTACAATTTTGATTTAGATTAGCGTATACTATATAAACTATCGATTAAGTTGAGTAATCGTTAAATCAGATATAAATGAAAACAAAATAACACTTCATTTTTTTGCAAGTCATTTATTTATAGATTCAATGAAAAAACGAAACATATTTATTTAGGCAGTATATGATTTATTAATGCGTAATCATGATATCCGTTTTAACTTTTCATTAACTGTAGTTTCGGAACCTCCTCGTTAGCACTTTAGATAAAATTAATAATTTGTTATCTTAGAATACAATAAATTTGCGTAGTAAATTATGAAATTAATCTATTTAATTTTTTCTACAATTTTAAGTGATTTTCTCTGAAAAAGGTTTCCTTTATACATTTTCAAACTTAATAAAATTTTTATTCCCCCATTATTTTTCTGTTACTATAATTGTCGTTACTGCAGTTTTTGATTATATTATTTTTTTATGTGTACATATGTACATATGAGTTAAGTTGAGAAGTTAAAGCCAATTGTTGCTTCACTCTGTAGGTGGTTGGTGCACTCTGTAGGTGCTGCCATGTTAAAGAGGCAGTCGAATTTATTAATCACTTACTATGTCTTTGTCTGGCACTATAGACTATTTGGCTTCAATGTTTTAGAGATGGTTTCTTTATTTGCTTAGTAGAGTTAACAAGTTTCCATGCTTTCATCTGGAAAATCAAGTGGATTATTTACACACATGGAGCCTTTTTGAAAATAATGGTTATTATAGTTCACGTCTTCCTGGGAACTTTAAACGCATTGCAATGGATAATAGTTATGTTAGAGTGTAATTGTTGATATTCGTATCAATACGCAACTTACAAACTCTACTGAATCATATTTGGTGTACAGGAATAAGAGAAGTAACCAGATCTGTAAGTTACAAGGAGTTTTTAGGGCTCCTCGAATTAGTAAGTAAAAAGAGTATAATATATTCTCCCAGAATAACTATATAGAACAATAGATTAAATTATATTAATAGACGACTGAAGAGAAAGGCATATTACATATATTACTATTATTATCTACACATTTATTGCATTTATTACCACTGATGCTGCTTTGATATATTGTACATTTATACATAAAAATCTAAGACCCGTGTTTTCTGTTTCCGTGGCTGCTCAGAGTATTATTGAGGCTTTGTATATACTTAGTGTATATTTGTAAACGTATTATGAGGCAATAACTAAGAACGACATTTTGAATACATTTTTGATTATTGTTTGAAAACAGAAAATAAAATAAAAACAATGTACTTGACATGGTATAATATTTAAGAAAAAATCTAGTTAGCAATTGTATTAAGAAATGAACATATAAAAATTTCTTAAAAAATCAAAAATATATAAATTTCATTACATTTAAAAATCTCTTAAATGTTATTAAAAATTCGTTTAAAATTCATCGGTTTTTCATTAAAATCGAAAAGTAACTAACCCAATTCGAAAGTCATTCTAGATTTTAAATTAATCAATATAAGAGGCAATTCTTTAGCAACATGCCGCGTGGAGGTAAATCATCTTCTCTAAATACACAAAAAAAAATAAGATGATTTTTAAAAATCATCTTTCATATTTCTTTCAGGTCAAAAAAGAAAGCGTGTCCAGCGTCGTAAAGGTGGAGGAAATCGTAGACAAGTTGATCGTAATCATCAGCGCTATGGTTTAACACCCATAATACCCCAAGGTATTAATGGTTTAGGTGTAAGTAAATTAAGTAAAAAATTATGTAGATAAATATTTTAATAATATTTATTTTTAGGAGCGGGATGAACGATTGAATGACACAGACCTGACACAGAATGTACTACCTGCTTCAACTGCTTTAGAACCAAATTTTATTTTGAGGAATTGGGGAAAAATATTAGCGTCACTTATACTAGTTATAATTGTATTAATTTTTTAGTAAAACCGATGGTGTAAAAACATCTAGCTTTGAAAGTCATATTTTTCGAGATTTGTTTGGAAATAAAATATATATAAATATAATAAGTTAAATATTGACTATGAACCCAAAGGTTGCTCTGTTTATAATGTTTTTACAGAAATATATATGTAGATATAATTAAAAGTAATATTTTGGAATTTTTAATTTTAAAATCACCTGATCTGAGATTCTTCCATGCTTTATGTATCATTG